CTCCTCCCTCTCTCTGTTTCTCTCTCCTCCCCCCCCCCCCCCTTTTCTCTCTCTCTCTGCGGCTGAAACGAAAGACGGCTAGGCCGAGGCTGAGCTGATCAGCCAAGCCTTCGCGGCCAGTCGGCCGCAGACTTGTGACGTCACTGACTGGTGTGTAAGGCCATGTTATAACGAAGGCCATGTCTGGATGCTCAAAGCCTGAGCAAACCCCCCCCAGGATATACACATTTTCTGGAGAGCATCCCCCCGACAGATAAGAAGAAAGCAGCAACAAAAAAAGTGCAAATGTAGCACTGAGTCAGGATGCACTTTCAACACATTTCTCCACAGAAAGGAAACCAGGCACCAGTGTTGGGTTCCGACTGCAAAGTGTTCTTGTGCATAGAGCCTGGCTTTAGGATCTATCACACATGCAAGGATTTCAAATGTTAAGTCAGGCGACATTTCCAGTTGTGAACCTTTCAACAAAGTCTTTTTTCCCTAATTTTAATTCTTTGTAAAAAAAAAAAAAAAAAGGATTTTTTTCCCTCCATTTTTAAAAATTGTTATAACTTAACCCATTTTTCAAAGCATCAGTGTCTACAGTGTATGAAAGGTTGCTATTCAGGCTTTTATAATAATTATTATTATTATTGAAACAGTGTATTATGTTCAGTATGTGAAAAAGTGTTGAAAAAATTGTGTTGTAAAAGTGCATTTCTTACTGGGATAGTGGCAGCCGGTGCTGTTGTGACCGTTCTTTTGCTACTGTCCAGTGTAGCATTAGCCCATGTGTTGGCTTTCTTACTCACTGACAACTCCTGGCTAGGGAAGAACAACGTCACTAGCCGTCATGGAGTTGGATTGCCCATGGGAACTTAAGGGACACCTCGTGAACGACACGCCGAGAGGAAGAGCATACAACATCCACTGGAGCGAAAGTGTTAAATAACCTAAAAGTGTTTATAAGGGCATTAATTTATACACTTACTTACTACCCCAAAAGCCAACATATCTGCAGTGTCTATTCTTAGAATGTTTTAAAATAGGACTTTTCGAACAATCGCAGACATGAAAGTAAAATGTAAATATAATTAAATGTAAATCTTTTCTATTGATTTTGAGATACCACTTTTCACATTCATTAAAAAAATAGAAGTTAATCAAACAGTTCAAGAGTAGAGAAATGGATTAGTTTGAAGCAGAGGGACAAAGAGCAAATTGATATTGAGCCTGAGCGGTCCATCTCTGAATTTCCTGCATGGTCTTTATTTGAAACCGCAAGAACTGATCTGGTGGGCATGTTTTGAGTACTTTTTGAGAACAAAGAGGGGCTTTCTTTGAAATTTTTAGTAAGCAAGATATTTGTGACTTCATTGCCAAGATCCTCTGAAGAAAAAGTGAGGCTCGAGTTGCTCAATCACTCTTTCTGATATCACTCCATGAAATTATAAAAAATACTACTCAACCAAAAGGAAAAACAAACTCATTTCCATTCTAACTGCGTTGACACGGTATGCCACATCATAAGGTGTTTACCTACATCTCACGTGCATGCCCTCCACGTCTTAGAAGCAAATTTCAGCCTGTGTACAAATGCTAAACCTATTTTTTGATTGTTACCATTTCTATCAAGGCATCACGGTACAGCTTGGCCTTTCCTATCAAAGTCCCCATTTACTAAGCAGGTCTTTTTCCAGAGTCAGTCAAAGAACCTTACCTGTCCTTCCAACCCAAGACAGAGAAGCCCCTTGGGAGCGTGACATAACACTATTACAGGAAAAACAAAACCCGGGAGGTAGGACTATCGAAAAAAGTGGTCCTTTGTACAGATCACCATCTTGCACATGGGTCCATTTAAGCAGATATGTAATCATTTTTATAAAATACATTTATACATTAAAATCATATACATGTACATAAATAAATAAAAATATACCATTCACACATCTTTCAGTTGCAATAATTACATTTTCAAATAAAATGTTTCTTAAAACCACACACACGATTCCCAATATATTAATTTTCTACCCCTGAGCTCTGAAGGGGCAACACAAGAAAAAGGTACACCTACAGAAAGTCTTTGTGCGACAAAGCTTCCTATTGGCTCATCTTGTCTGCCTCCCTGTCAATTGTCCAAGTGTTTAGCCTCCAACCCATCCTTGATAATCCCAGTCCCTCGAAAGGTTTGTTGGATAAATGGCAAATCATAGATACCCAAGGACTGTACATTAACCCAAGTCTGTATACACCCATAGCAAGAAATCTGACCTTTGAGTGTTCATTAACCCTTTGAATCCGAAAGGCAGATGATTCAGTTCGCCCCGTAGTTCTCTGCCCCCAGAATTCCCGATACATCAGTATTCTATTACTACCTTGACTCCGACTGTCCACGTAAACCCAAATGTGAAAAAAATCAGGAACCCAAGGGAACTAGTACAATACCAAAAGACTGATATTTCAGTCTGGGCTTATGGTCTCTGAACCTTGAGCATTTGAGTTCGATATATCGGTACTCCCAAACTACCTCAAACTCGACCAACCGCGCAAGCCCACGAGTCAGGAATCCAGGGAGACTAGTACATATGTGACGCATTGAGGTGATATCAGGCGCTCGTCAAAAAAAAAAAAAAAAAAAGAAAACAAAGAAAGTGCTATATTTTGGGGCGTTGGGCAATTATTATTTTTTTAATATTCAATTTTTGGCTCAACACCTTTTATCTCCAATAAAAAACACGAGATTTTACTGAAGAGTGTTGACTAAAGGCTAAAAAATAATGTAAACTTTCAGTTTTCAAAGACTCTCAAACTAAGGAAATCACCAAACTTTGGTGACCGTTTTCTCATTACATAATGAAAATGGCCGAGTTTTCCACATGAACAATATCTTTTTGGTGTGTTTTCCGAATGTATTTTCTATACTGATGCACCCTATAAAATTTCATGATGATGCACGAATTGGATTTTGAGAAATTTGAATTGTACAGTGCTGTGAAAATAGCCTCCGTTTTAGACTTTCAGTACCTTTCTTTCTTTTCCTTTCGACTCCCTCAAAATGCGCAAATACTTGAATATGGGTCATATCACTCAGAAATGGTCAAATCAACATTTAAGCATGTTTTAGAGGATATATTTTTCTGATTTGGATATTTTCTTACTGCCAAATAAGCAAATTTGGGGGATTTTTTGGTTTACAATTACTCATTACATAATCAAAATGGCTGCTTTTATAGTGTAATTTATATTTTATTCTCGCATTTTCTAATTGTTTCGACTCTATTGATGTACTCTGAAAATTTTCATGATGGTGTAAGTATAGGTGATGGAGAAATTTGAATTGTACCTGGAAATGTTGAAACCGCTTTTCTCTGGACTTCTGTGCCCTAATTTAAAATGTCGCAAACCGTCTCTTGTGCTTGAGAATGACAAGAAGAAGAACAGTGGGCTGGCTATTTCTTTGATCGTTCGGTGCAGTGAATGTGGGAATGACCTGAATTCGACGATGACATCATCCAAATGTGCTGGCGCCCAGTCTGTGTTCGATGTTAATCGAAGAGCAGCTGCTGCAGCATCTGCAACCGGAATGGGATACGCTGGTTTGGCCAACTTTTCCGAGTTCATGAACGTTCCAGTCCTCCATCACAAAACATTTGCGGCGCACACTAAAGTCATTAGTGACAGAAGTGAAGTTTTCACAAGAGATGTTATGGAGAAGGCGGTGGAGACTGTGAAGGCAGCCTATCCGGAGTAGACCTCAGATGTGAAAGACATCCATGTCTCCTTTGACGGTAGTTGGCACAAGCGCGGCCACACCTCAAAGTCAGGCATCAGACTCGTCATAGAGAGGAAGACTGGCCTCGTCGACTACGAAGTTCTGACGAGTTATTGTCCTATCTGTGCTACCACAGGGAAAAGACTGGAACAGGAAAATGTGGTGAAGTACGAACGTTGGCACAGAGATCACAAAGCGGTGTGTGGTGCCAATTATCAGGGGCCTAGCGGCGGCATGGAGAAAGAGGCGGCGCTGCGGATCTGGAGCCGGTCAGTGGTGAAGAACAATCTAAGGTATGTCTCCATGATTAGTGATGGAGATGCCAAGACCATATCCGAGTTGCATGCTCTTGATCCCTACCATGGCATTAAAGTGGCAAAACATGAATGTGTCAACCACGTCGGCAAACGATTAGGGACGGCACTTCGGAACTTGGTTGCAGAGAAGTCCAAGGCGAAGCCGAAGGTCACTCTGGGAGGGAAAGGCCATGGCAAACTCTGACCTGAAGTCATCACAACCCTCCAGAAGTATTACACCAAGGCCATCCGCAGCAACACCACGGTGCCTGCCATGAAAGAAGCAGTGACTGCTATTGTCGACCACGGCTCCTCCACCGACGCAGATCCGAAACACGACAACTGTCCAAAGGGAGGTGACTCGTGGTGTTTTTGGCAGAAGGCAAATGCAAAGGGCCTACCACCAGGCAGCCATGAGGAGAATGTGGGGTCTCCTCTCTGCAAGATCGTTGTGGACAGCATCCGACCAACGTTCGAGCGAATGTCGACCGATGAGTTGCTGGGACGCTGCATCCTGCTGACCACACAGAATGCCAACGAAAGCGCCCACGGGCTTACATGGGCTCGGTGCCCAAAGCACCAGTTTGTAAACCGTAATCGTCTGTCTATTGCCGTGTCTGTGGGAGTCGCAGAATTCAACTTTGGAGCGTCTGCCTCGAGGAAGTTTTTAGACCATCTCAGCTTGTCTGTTGGTGACGAAACGAAGCGTCGCGGGAAGAAGCGAGACTATTTGAGGACTGTTAAAGCTGAAGCAGCAGTCACAGAGAAAGCAAGGAGATTTCGCCAGGCTAAGGCAGATGCCAAACAAAGGGAGGAGCAGAGACCCATTGACATTCATGGGCAGTTCTATGTCTCTAGTGGTGGAGACTAGAGGCAGTGACACTTTTGCCTAAATTTTATTACTTTTTTCTTAGGGGGGTAGGTCAGAATCTGTGGTGGAATTTTTGTTTATATTGCTATTAGGTGGTTCTCCTTTGTAGAGAAGGCTGACAGTATTCTCAGTATTCATAATATGTGTGGTTTTGTACTATAAAAATGTATTTTGGCTCACTTTTGAGCATTTGAATTCGTTTTTTGCGTTTTTCTCAAAACACCTTCCTACACCCGTGTCCCACTATTTTGAGTAGATCTCTGTAAGTTACTGACAGAATTGGCTGAAACTTTGACACAATGTTCTGAAGATGTACATCTATCACCTTACAAGGAGATTTTTTACTTATATCTTGTAATTTTTCAATGAAGAGAAGTTTCGTGTCCATTTCTCCTGAAATGTCCGAGATTTTAATATAGCCAATTATAGCCCACTTTAGGGATGAATATCTTGGGAACGGAAGAAATAAATTGAATTCTGCTTTTGTAAGGTGGTAGAGGATGCCCACATGTGTAACTATGCTAAATATTAGGCCTACAACTTGAATGGTTGTTGAGATCTACCTAAAATAAAGTTGTGTGTAAAATGCTGACTCAGTATTTTGTTTGTGGTGCCACTCCGTGGAAAAATGTGAGAATGTGTATTTTAAGGTTCAGGGTACTTCATTTCGACCAAACGAACATACCAATGCACACTAACTAGCTCAAAGACAAGTAAATAGCCAGATAGTGTATACCATAGCCACCTCCCCTTAAGTCTTTTTACTTTTACATAACAGCTAGCCATTGCAAACTATTTTAAATGGACCGTTTTACTTATTTAAAAAAATTTAATTTTGTGCCCCCATCAATGCTGTGTAGATCATAACAATTTAGCTATCAATTATGAGAATTATCTCCCGAAATCTGAGACTGGAACATGGAATTTCACAGGTGCTGATTTTCTGGTAAATTTAGAATTCTTCTTCTTTCCTTCTCTTTTAGTATATTTTACGTCAATTACAAGTGGGTTTTGACCACTTGGTAAAAATTCAGCTCCCTCAGAATCGACCCCAGTTCTCCCTTGCAACACTGAGGTGTCTATCCTTTACACTAGTACCTGGATTTGAAAAATTGTTACAAGACGTTCTATTTTAAGTGTGTGAAATGTTTGTTTTTTTTGTTTTGTTATTGTTGCTTTTTTTAGTCAATTGGCACCTTTGCTCCAGTTGCCGGTTACCATTACAACTCGCCCTCCCATCTACCTCTTGTGGACATATATATATCTACATTTACTTCTTCAGATATTTTGTGTTGTTTATTTTGTGAAGTATCTATCTACTTTTATTTCCTCAGATATTTTGGGTTGTTTACAAGCATTCGTTTAGCATTTACTTGTTTTTTGTGTATTTTTGGTTTATTTAATTTAATTTTACTTCTGCTTTGCTGCATGTCTAGGGACAAGATGTACGCCCTGAAGAAGCATGCCCTTGAACACGGTGCTGCAGAAAGGACAAAAAAAATCAAGCCACAAAGAAAACATGCACTGACAGCAGAAGATGTTGAGCGGCTGATGCGGTTCCTGAGGGCATATGCTGAGGACCATGCCCTAGTACTACCTGGGAGAGTGCCAAGCTTTTCCCGGACAGATATCCGCTTGCTGCCATCCAGCAATACTAAGTACTCTGTCCATCAGAAGTATCAGCATTCCTTGGCTGGTTCTGGTAATTACTCTTGTTTGTTACTATATATAGGCAGCATGGTGAAATCAGGCATTTGTCAAAATAATGTAATCATAATCAAGGAAATAGACATTTTTCTGGCTGTTGGGCAATTTTTTTCTCTCGAATTTTCATTTTCTTGTTTCGCTCAATACCTATGTCCATGTAAGAAGACATTTCTGTGTTTATTTTACATAAAAATTTTGGTCAAAGGTACAGAAAATGTAAATTGGCAATTTCCAAGGACATTCAAGCTTTGGAAGTCACCAAAGTTTGGCGGCCATTAATAACCCCATGCCAAAAAATTGGCGAGCGTCCAATTCCACTGCGTCGTGACGCATTACTTTGTGTAAAAAGTAATTCCTGTTGTGAGATCTTGCTATAGATGTAACATCTTAGCCTAGCCTTTGATTCTTGTGACAATGCTTGGTCTTGGTATCTTATGGTAATGTTAAGGTCCCTGATTCAATTCCTTCCCCTTGCGGGCATGAACATGTTTTCTCTTCTTTCTTTTTTCAAACATTTTTTTCCTCTGTCCCTTCCTGTCTTTTTTTTCTTATAAAATGCAAATTCTGTCAATACCCCTAGTCTAAGGGTATGTCAGAGCAAGCAAAGGTCAACTGTGCAAATCATTTGCATTAAAGAAGACTGCTATTTTTAATGCATAGTACAGTGGGCCTGTTGGTACCCTCTTCAGGATAATTTCCAAATCATTGAGTAAAAAAAAAGTTTTCCAAAACCCACTTTTCAATTCATAAAGTTTCCATCTTATTAAAGAAATCTCACCTTCTAGATATTAAATAATGTTTTCTCTTTTTCTTTCATGCAGGCCATCGTGCTGTAGGCCTAACAGCATTTAAAGCTGAGTGGCATTGCTACTGCCCGGACATCGTCATTACAAAGCCCGCTACGAACCTCTGTTGGGTGTGCAGGACAACAACACCAAGATCCAGCGGTCATCCAACATGTCCACTGAAGACAAAGCTGCTGTTGTACAGCGCCAGGTGGAGCAACTCACCGCTGTCACCACAGAACGGTCCCTGTACAACAAAATTGTAAGAGATTGTAAGGAGATTGTGCAGAGGGCACTGACTCCTGTTGTTCTGCAGCCCCATCAGCCTAACTGGAGACTTCTCCATGCACTACAGCTAGGATTTTGCCCAGCAGGTGCATCTCCCAAGCAACCCCATGCAGCCAGGACAGATTTATTCTCTAACTCCACAGAAGTGTGGAATTTTCGGGGTGAACTGCGAGGCCATCCCTCAGCAGGTGAACTTTTTAATTGATGAGGGGATGAGTGCTGGCAAGGGCAGCTCAGCCGTCATTTCTTATCTGCATTTTTTTTTTTTAGAGATATGGTCTCGGGGAGAAGACTGTGGACCTCCATTGTGACAACTGTGCAGGTCAGAACAAAAACCAGTACCTTCTCCAGTACCTGGCTTGGAGAACCATGACTGGCCTGCACACCCATGTCAACCTCCATTTTATGCTGTCTGGTCACACAAAATTTGCCCCTGACTGGTGTTTTGGGCTACTCAAAAGGAAGTTCCGGCGCTGTGAAGTTTCCTGTCTGGAGGAGATGGCGGCTATCGTCTCAGAAAGCACCCACAGCAGAATCAATCGCCCACAGCTCGAGGGAACTGAAGCTGGACAGCTGTACGTTCCAACGTATGACTGGCACGCCTTTTTCGGCAGACATGGCAAGCCCTTTAAGGGTATTAAATCTTATCAGCATTTCTGCTTTTCTACCAGGAAGCCTGAAGTGTGCACCGCACATCGGAAGATGAGCGACCTCCCAGGCACCAGAGTTGTCCTGGATCCGGCAGCAGTAGCAGAACTGCAATTTCCGGAGGTGATTCCCCGACCTGGCCTCAGCAAGGAGAGGCAGAAGTACCTCTATGACAACATAAGGTGTTTTGTCAAGCCAGAACACAAGGACACTGTCTGCCCAGCACCACAGTAACACACAGCCACCCCTCTACAAGACCATCCACACAGCCACCACTCTACAAGATCATCTTCACAGCCAGCTACAACTGCAATCAACACACATCACAACAACAAAAATGTTTACTGCGGCCACAGTATTGTGACGGTCCGAAGCTCGTGTTAACGCAGACGGAAAATTTCTCAGTGGTGCTCGGTAAGGTTACAACTTAGACATTACGTGTATTCATCTTACAGCCAAAAAATAAAATTGTACACTTTTTTAAAAGTTATTCATTTTACCAGCAGCTTAACCACTAGGTCATTTGGGCTGAAGTTAGGGAATGTGTAACAAAAGGATGGAGCCTACTGTTTTGTGTTAATTATAAGAATATACATTTTTTTAATGGAATGTTATTTGAAGTTAAACCTAGTGTGGTAGTTTTAAGTCAGAGGAATTGATTTAATCAGTGAAGTGTTGTGTTTTTATTCCTGGAATTGCCTGGACCTGACTTTATAACTACATCAGTGTGGTGTTGAAGCGTTTTATTCGTTCAATTACTTGGACTTGCATTGCAGCTTTGAACAAAGTAAGGTTTCACCGTTTCTTTTTTATTTATTTAATTGTACTTTTTTTTCTTTTTTTTCTTTATATTTTTTGAGGGGGTGGCTTTCCATTTTAAGTCTTTATTCTAGAACTCCAAGTATTTGGTGACCCCATTTATGACCCTGCACCCTGGAAACCAACCAGAGGAATATCTAGCTCTTTTGAAACTGGAGTAGACCTACCCTCATGGAGTGGAAATACTCCCTGCTTGAAGCCACAATTTTGTGGTCGGTGTCCTCATTTGGTGTTAGAATGGATATAAATTAATCTATATTAAAATCGCTAACAAGCAATGACATGTCTGTGTATCTTTAGTCTTCTCTCTCTCTCTCTCTCTCAGAGCAATGTTCAACCCCGGCTGCTATGGAAAGTTCAGCTTTTAAAGTCGCCATACTTTGGCAGCCATTTTCTCGCTTTTTTCACCGGTTACGCTGGGTGACCCCCACTCGCTTTAAACGTACATATCTCCACTTCTAATAAAGACAGATTAAAAATTTTGTCTCCACGTTCAAAATAAATGAATAAGTTTTAATTTGGTACCAATAACTCCATATGCCCAAAAATTGACGAGCGCCTGATTCCACCACGCTGCATTACATATGTCAATTCAATTTTCGAAGACTGCTGAAAATTTGAAAGTGATCTGAGCCATTATTACTGAGAAAACTACATTTTACTGAACTACCCCCATTTTTCTGGAATGGCAGCTCAGTGGTGCGTGGAGGAAAGTGTTTTTCCTATATATATTGTGTGTGAGAAAAGTGTTGAGATGATACCAGTAACTCCAGATGCCCTAAAACTAACGAGCGCCTGATTCCACTGCGTCATGACACATATAGGTTCGGGATGTCGGGGTTCAAAGGGTTAACATCATTGCCCGTGTTGTCTTGTAAAACAGATAAAACATACAACAATGACTTTATCTTTATACAGTTGTTATACAGCAGATTAAGTTTAGTTTGAGTAACGAGAAGCACCTCGACACAACAACGATCATAGAGTGCTAAGAGAAAGAAAGACAGAGACAGAAGCAATAGAAGAAGAGCGAAGAACCAGGCTTTAAAAAGGGCATATAAAACAGAAGACTGAAACAATTCAGCTTTTTTGTCCCTATTATGAAATTTGATCGTCATGACATAATTATTATACATTTACACGATTTTCACCACTGGTATGGATTTCAACAAATTCCACAAGGTCATACCTTGATGCCGTAAAGGGATGGGCTGGGGTCAATCGGGCGTCTCAATAGAAAGAACGGGTAACACAGCCCGTGACGGCAACTCAAGGTCTTTATTTCCTTTATGCTTCACCTTGATGTCTGGCAGATCGCGGTCCGAGACTGCATCATCGCCGTGGCGATGCTGCTGCTGGTGCTGCGACTCTGAGTCGTTGCTGTGTAAGGAGTAAGAGATGTTGCCGTACTCCTGCAGGCACGGACACGCCCCCAGCAGGAACAAGCAAAAGTCTTTGCGGATGCCAAACCACCCTGGGTAAAACAGTAAAAAATATTTTAAAACATTTTAAACGAAGGTGTTTTTACCCAATTTAGATCATTTAGAGGTTATACACGAACCTTCCTGCCGGGGCCAACCAAATTTGGGGGGAAAAAATGGAATTTGACAAGTGTGTGATAGTAGAATCCTGCTGGTTTACAGCTTCAGTAGGTTCCCTTTTAAGTCTGCTGGTGGGGGGGGACAGCCCTGAGGCCAAAGATCGATGCGATTCGGGCGAGGTTGGGGAAATT